CGACTGTGTCTGCTAAAAGTCATCTGAATTCCCTCTTTCGTTTGGGTTGCACCATGAGAAAACCTGGATTGGAAAGCGACCAGTGTGAAGTCTTCATTGCCAATGCCGTCGAACCCGGCACATGTCAAATGTCACAAATCCGAGTCGTAGACTAAGTTGATGGGATTCTGCTATATCACGAAAATAATCACACCGCCCCGTTCTTGTCTGGGTCTTGCAGGGCAGGAGGGAGTTGCCTAAAATCTGCCGATCCCTTGTCCACAAAACCGGATCTCAGCCAAAGAGGCTTCAACATGTTGACCTTGCAGTTGTGCAAAAACCAAGGCCTTGTCCGTAGTGTAAGCAATTTCTTTGCGCGGTTCTCTCCAAGAAAAAAATGTGTTAAAAAAAAAAAAACACAGATTTCATTTCCTTGGTCACTTGTGAAATAGCACACTTTACAGCCTGGACCAGTTCTCGTTGGCACCGAGAGGAAAAAAGGATGCCTCGTTTAGCAACTGTGATTGTCCCAGAGTAGGGCTCGTTAGTAGTTCCCTCTCTTTAGTGGTTAATCAAGCATGAAGCACATACCCTCCCAAAAACACAATCATGCAACTCTGCTAAAGGAAAATTGTCTTCCAGGCAGTTTCTTGGTTCTATGTTTTGGGCGGGTACCAATCGAGGGCCCCCATCGAGGGAACCCCAAACCCTCGTTCCCGTCGGTCGACTCCCCACCTGCAGCTGGGCCCACAGCTGCCTCGGAGAGCAGGTCACAGAACCAGTCGAACTCCTCCTGGAGGCAATGGGCCGGTTTTGGAGCTCCCCACGTCGTTTGCCGATTGGAAACCTCAAGTTTGTGATGTTTTAGTTTGCTCGGAAAGTGGCTACGTGGTGCTACCTTCGCTTGCGATCCGGCCCTTTCACACAGCCAGCTTTATGCCATCATTGAATTCGGGCGCCCTCAAAAGCCGGGTACGCAGAGGTTCTCACCATGGCTCCACACTACAATACATTGCTTGAGGGAAGGTATGGAGCCAAAAGACGCTGGCGTATCGCGACGGACCACGCTAAAACAAGCAGTGCTTCATGTTGTCCAGCTCCTGACCACGACAGATCCAGTAGAAGTAGATCCTCAGCCAGCAGAAGCATGCAGAATGCGAGCGGGAATGGAGCAAATAACAGTCATGCTGTCAGGATAATTTTGTCATGGGTTCTATCCAAGCCCTCGGACCTCATGCTTACCCAAAAACAGACGCGTAATATGGGGGGAGTGACCAAAATTAATACTGTAGACTTGACTTGTAAACTGCCAGTTGGATAGTGGCTACAACGTCTCCGACATACCCTCTACTAATTAACCCCCGGAGAGTGACAAATTGAAGCTGTTCAAGAGCAGTTCTGCACTTTAGTGCGGATCCCTTCTCAGCTTCCCTCAAGCAGGGTGGTCCGGATTGGTGGTTTGGTGGTTCAGGGTGTGGGCCCATTAACCCTGACACAAGAACCGGGGCTTCAATTTCCCAAACCACCAATCCAAACCACCAACTACTGGTTGCCTGACCTCCATTTGTCCATGAACAAAAACATAGATTAAAGGGTATGGCCGCCTCTTGGCTTGGCCATCTTGGAATTTAAAGGCAGAGGTCAACTCCGTCAAAACATAAGCTGATGTGCAGCATAAGCCAAGAAAACTACCCTCTTTCCAACAATGGAAGTCGTCAGGAAATCTTCCCCAGAAGGAATGCAGTCTTCCAAAACCCGGTCAGTCAGCTTCAATGATTGGAGGGAGAGTCAGGAATGTGTGTTTGCGCCGTCAAAAGCAATGGTTGGCAGACAAGAAGACCTAAGACTTGTGCCCAGGTGCTCTGTCCATCTTGACGGCATCAGGATTGCTGCTGCCGCACTGATGCCCCCAGTACAAGCGCTTCATTGTCAAAGTAGGATGGTGCTGGGTCTTCTTAGGGCTCTTGCTAAGGATGGTATAACGGTATATCTCTCTCAATATGTGTATATGTATATATATATATGAGGAGCGGACGAAACCCTTTACTTGGCCTTAGTACTTTTTTTAACGTCATCGTTTTTGGGGGAGACCTCATCGTTTTACAGTGCTTTCGAACTTTGGCAGATCCGGCTCCAAAATCGCAACTTTCTAGCACAAGTCTAGTACGCGAAGTACACTTCCGCAGCTCCAGCTCGAAATTCGCAACTTTGTAGTACAAGTCTAGTACGCGAAGTACACTTCCGCAGCTCCAGCCCGAAAATTGCGAAATACAATTCCGCAGCTCCAGCTCGAAAAGCGAAACTTGGCAGGCAGTACAAGTCTAATACGCGAAGTACACTTCCGCATCTCCAGCTCGAAAATCGCAACTGTGCAGTACAAGTCTAGTACGCGAAGTACACTTCCGCATCTCCAGCTCAAAAATCACAACTTTGTCGTGCAAGTCTAGTACGCGAAGTACACTTCCGCAGCTCCAGCTCGAAAATCGCAACTTCGTAGTACAAGTCTAGTACGCGAAGTACACTTCCGCATCTCCAGCTCGAAAATCGCAACTTTGTAGTACAAGTCTAGTACGCGAAGTACACTTCCGCATCTCCAGCTCGAAAATCGCAACTTTGTAGTACGTCGAAGTACACTTCCGCAGCTCCAGCTCGAAAATCGCAACTTTGTAGTACAAGTCTAGTACGCGAAGTACACTTCCGCAGCTCAGCTCGAAAATCGCAACTTTGTAGTACAAGTCTAGTACGCGAAGTACACTTCCGCATCTCCAGCTCGAAAATCGCAACTTTGTAGTACAAGTCTAGTACGCGAAGTACACTTCCGCATCTCCAGCTCGAAAATCGCAACTTTGTAGTACAAGTCTAGTACGCGAAGTACACTTCCGCAGCTCTCCAGCTCGAAACTCGCAACTTTGTAGTACAAGTCTAGTACGCGAAGTACACTTCCGCAGCTCCAGCTCGAAAATCGCAACTTTGTAGTACAAGTCTAGTACGCGAAGTACACTTCCGCAGCTCCAGCTCGAAAATCGCAACTTTGTAGTACAAGTCTAGTACGCGAAGTACACTTCCGCAGCTCCAGCTCGAAAATCGCAACTTTGTAGTACAAGTCTAGTACGCGAAGTACACTTCCGCATCTCCAGCTCGAAAATCGCAACTTTGTAGTACAAGTCTAGTACGCGAAGTACACTTCCGCATCTCCAGCTCGAAAATCGCAACTTTGTAGTACAAGTCTAGTACGCGAAGTACACTTCCGCAGCTCCAGCTCGAAAATCGCAACTTTGTAGTACAAGTCTAGTACGCGAAGTACACTTCCGCATCTCCAGCTCGAAAATCGCAACTTTGTAGTACAAGTCTAGTACGCGAAGTACACTTCCGCAGCTCCAGCTCGAAAATCGCAACTTTGTAGTACAAGTCTAGTACGCGAAGTACACTTCCGCATCTCCAGCTCGAAAATCGCAACTTTGTAGTACAAGTCTAGTACGCGAAGTACACTTCCGCAGCTCCAGCTCGAAAATCGCAACTTTGTAGTACAAGTCTAGTACGCGAAGTACACTTCCGCAGCTCCAGCTCGAAAATCGCAACTTTGTAGTACAAGTCTAGTACGCGAAGTACACTTCCGCATCTCCAGCTCGAAAATCGCAACTTTGTAGTACAAGTCTAGTACGCGAAGTACACTTCCGCAGCTCTCGAAAATCGCAGCTCTTATCGCAACTTTGTAGTACAAGTCTAGTACGAAAATCGCAACTTTGTAGTACACTAGTCCGCATCTCCAGCTCGAGCAACTCAAGTCTAGTAAAAGTCACTTCCGCAAGCTCGAAAATCGCAACTTTGTAGTACAAGTCTAGTACGCGAAGTACACTTCCGCAGCTCCAGCTCGAAAATCGCAACTTTGTAGTACAAGTCTAGTACGCGAAGTACACTTCCGCATCTCCAGCTCGAAAATCGCAACTTTGTAGTACAAGTCTAGTACGCGAAGTACACTTCCGCATCTCCAGCTCGAAAATCGCAACTTTGTAGTACAAGTCTAGTACGCGAAGTACACTTCCGCATCTCCAGCTCGAAAATCGCAACTTTGTAGTACAAGTCTAGTACGCGAAGTACACTTCCGCAGCTCCAGCTCGAAAATCGCAACTTTGTAGTACAAGTCTAGTACGCGAAGTACACTTCCGCATCTCCAGCTCGAAAATCGCAACTTTGTAGTACAAGTCTAGTACGCGAAGTACACTTCCGCATCCAGCTTCGCAGCTCAAGTCTAAAATACGTAACTTTGTAGTACAAGTCTAGTACGCGAAGTACACTTCCGCAGCTCCAGCTCGAAAGTCGCAACTTTGCAGTACAAGTCTAGTACGCGAAGAACACTTCCGCAGCTCCAGCTCGAAAATCGCAACTTTGTAGTACAAGTCTAGTAAGCGAAGTACACTTCCGCATCTCCAGCTCGAAAATCGCAACTTTGTAGTGCAAGTCTAGTACGCGAAGTACACTTCCGCCTCTGCAGCTCGAAAATCGCAACTTTGTAGTACAAGTCTAGTACGCGAAGTACACTTCCGCAGCTCCAGCTCGAAATTCGCAACTTTGTAGTACAAGTCTAGTACGCGAAGAACACTTCCGCAGCTCCAGCTCGAAAATCGCAGCTTTGTAGTACAAGCCTAGGCTGTACGCGAAGTACACTTCCGCATCTCCAGCTCGAAAATCGCAACTTCTCAGTACAAGTGTCGTATTTACAGAGCCGTGTGTTCGTTAAGGGTCATCGTTTTTGGGGGAGACCTCATCGTTTTCCATGGTTTTGGGATGTGTTACTCAAAAGCGTGCCCCGTCTTGATAAAGTGGTCTACGCGTGTTTTGTCCGTGGCTCATATATATATAGGCAACAGTAACAAAATAACACACATCTGGATATATACATATATGTGTCATAATAGAACTTGGTGCAAATGATCCATCTGATGGCCACAACACATTATATTCTCCCCCACCCCCCATCCCCCCAGATCCCGGGATCATGTGATCCCTTGGCACTGCGCTTTTTGGTCTCACCACGCATCTTCGGCGACCGATTGCATCTCCGTGTCCGCGTCGGACACGTCGCCGCCGGCGGTGGCGACTTTCTCTGCGAAGAGCTTCTGAAGCTCCGCGGCGGCGTCCAGCTGCCATTGGCTGGGCACCCGCCCCACCACGGTGTCCTCGCGGAAATCGAGATCCAAGGAACTCCGTTGAAGGGGACAAATGGCCACATCACCTTGATGTATGGGGTTCTTTGATTCTTTCTTTGGGGTAGCATGAACAAAAACCACTCTACCCCCCCCCCCCCCCCCCCTGCAGAGATTATTTCATAAAAGCATGAGCCCCCAAATTGGAAGCCAAGCCGCCGGCCCACAACAACAAGTCCCCCCAACAACAAGTCCCCACTTCTGGAAAAAGGGTATGCCTGGGCGGCTCGTCTCGCTTTTTAGTTGGTACCCCTATCGTTTCTGGTTCTACAGGACAGCCAAAGGGTTCACCACCCGCTTTGTTGGGGGTCCAATCTAAGAAAGCGTACGACAGGTGTCCAGGAAGTTGGCCACCAGCTGCCTGAGCTTGAAGAGCTCGTCTGCAACCTGTCAATGGCCATCCTTACCTCCCTTCCGATCGAATGGAGTAGCCAAGAACAAGTCTCGACTTGTGTTGTTTGCCACTAAGACAGTGCCAAGCCCAACAAAGTGTCTGAAGTCCAGGAACTCGGGAAGTGAGTAGCTGGTTGCTATCAAAATGCTGGAAACACAAAGTCCTGAAACTCAGGGAGTGAGTTAGACTGGTGAAGTAACCCCCAATTGAAGTGTCTCTTTTCTTTCTTGAGGGTAGCTTTTGTTCTGGTATTTAAGGGAAAGCAACAGGAACACCTCAATCCATTTCGGGGGGTTCCCCAAAAAAACAAGATGCACCCAGTCGCCTGTACGTCCACCGCCACGTGCCAGCTCTGCTCCAGCTCCACCACCACGCGCTTCCCGCGGTGTACTTCGCGCCAGGACCGCGACGGCGCGAAGAGCAGCGAAGGCGCTAGACCCACCACCGTGGAGTCGTAGAGGAAGCGGTTGCTGGTCCTTCACCCGTGACCGAAAAACCGCCTACCCGCTACAAGGGGGGGGGGTCTTTTTAATTGGTGGGGATTCCTTTTCTTTCAGATGGACCTCCCTTATTTACAAGTGGGGGTGGTTTAATCAGGGGTCAACATTTCCTGAAGGCCTGCATCCCTTGCAGTTGTGGACAGACAAGGGGAGGGAGGGTTGGGGTGGCCCTCACGTGGGGGTACTCAAAACTGGGGTGTGCCCCAAAAAATGGCAGTCCGTTCGGTTTCCCTTTAACCACACAACAATGGGTCCACCAATTGGGACCATGAGAATGTGTCTTCTTTCTTGATGCCTCTTTTGGACACACCCATGACTAAATCAGCGGATGTGAGCATGGCACATGTCATAACAACCAACAGCTTCCATGCATAGTGCACTTTGACTTTTGCAGGGAAAGACTGAAACAACGCTCCTTTGGATAAACAAATTCCTGCACCAGCCAGAATGGATGAAGCCCTGTGTACTGAACCGTTTAGCTTCAGCTTCATTTTGTCCCACTTCCGGAGGTTCCGAGAGGCCTCTTCCTCCCTTGCCACACGAAAGGGCATGGCGGCAGGTGCTGGTTCGCTTGTGCTTATCATTTTGGCAGGCAGCGGGTGATTTGGCAGGCAGGTGCGCAGTGCTGAGCGGGTGCGCGTGGGCGGGTGTGCTTATCATTCTGGCAGGCGGGCACACAGTGCTCAGAAACTTCGACCCTGCTGCCAGGCCAAAACTAGCCAGGCATAATGAGATCTGAGCTGATGCGCCACACACCGCCACAGAACAAGTGCACACCAAATATCCAGTCTTCCGAAATGCTGCGCGCACCAGCAAACATGTGCTTCTGAATCACCCAGCTAAGGGGACTAGGACGCGTGGCTCCGAGACCGCTTCCCGAACGGTCCCGATAACAAAGTGCTTGATTCTTCCCATCCGGCTACTACAGAATGTTACTGCATGTCAATAAACAAACGGGGATGGGAATTCCCTTGGTATCACAGACAGTGGCCCACTAAAACCAACATGTTCCACACCCACTGCTGAAAATGGGAAATGAAAGGCACAGTTCTCGAGTGGGTTGATCTTGCCCAGTCTTAAACTTGTTGGCCTTGCCGGAAAATGGTTTCAGCTTCCGCAAACTTGGGCGCGAAAACCTAACTGCCAAGATCCAAACAAGCTCCGAGCAAATCACTTTTCTTTTGCACAAATCCCTTGTCTTGGATCGATCTGTGGCTCATTTGAAGACTCTGGAAACAAAACTCGCGAGGAACTCAGCCAAATCCCCATGGACCATGTCCAGAAGGCATCTAGTGTTGTCTCAAAATATGGGACCCTCAGAAATTGGTGGGCTTCCTTTTGTTCCCCTTCAGCCAAAAAAGGGTACCCTTAAAATAAGGCAGCCTCATCTCTGGAAGCCTATATTGCTTGCCACTGAGGCTCTCTTGGATCTCGTAGAAGACCACCGTGGACCACTCTTCTGTGCCTTGGAAATGAATGCAAAAGGTAAAAACAACTCCCAGACAGTGTGGTCACTTTGTATCTATGTATAAATATGTGCATGGCATGTGTATGCATACAAATATATGCATACATCTATTGGGATATACATAAACAATACCATAATCTGTATACACTTGGGGAGCTAGAGGCAACACACACACACACACAGACCGCCCGCCCTGTTTGCCAGCGCCATGGAGGCTGCGCATCCAGGCCGCTGTTGACGCTGCCCGGGTGTACCACGACGGGAAGGCCCGAGATGCTTTTGCCCTTCCCGCGGCGCTGGAGCCAGGCCAAGTTGGGGAAGAGACCCGCGGTGAGCACCGCCTTGCACGCCTCGCGTGGCGGGGTTTTGGTGTCTCTCGTCTTTCTTAGGCTCGGACCCTCCAAAATGGATTTCGGCTTCCTTTTGGTTTCCCTTTAAAACCACCCAGCAAATGGTTCACCTGAAAAAAAAGCAACCATTCCTTGTGTGTTCCGGAAAGAGGCAATCCGCAGGTTCATTCCCAGACTCTTGACAACTCCTTTTCAAAAACCAGCAAGTGAAGTACTTGGAAGTTGGTCAGGCGACAATGTGAGTAGGAGGGTAAACGTCACGGATCAAGTGAAGGGATGTCCACCCCCCCAAGCAAGAAGGAATTCGTGGAAAGCGTGACTGATGCTGACTCAAAAGGTCTCCTACATTTCTTCTTTGAGCATCAGCCCGAACAGGAACCTCACTTTAAATTGACAATCAAACGGTGATGTTGAAACCCGGCAAAAGGAACATTCTGGGGAAGCCTAAGCTGAGCGGCGGGTGAATCTGCGCAAATGAAAAACAGATCGATAGAACTGGAAGCCAAACCAATTCAGGGGATGATTTATCTTACATACTGGTTGGACATGAGGAAAATTAATGAGTGAGCTAGTTCTGGCTTTAGCCGCTTTAGCCCGTCATTTGTGCAGGGGAACAATACTCACCTCCGATTTGTCAACCTACAACAAAGTTGCTGGGGCCTGAAAAACATGAAAGCGAAACCCAGTAAGACATGCCAGAAATGAACAGGGAAGAAAAAGGGGACCAAGAAAACAACAGTTTGATTTCCCAATCTCAACCAACCAACAGCTGACCAATTTCTAACTCAAGCCCATTGAGCCTCTAGTACTGTTGGGGCAGGGGAGAGGGGTATCAATCATAGGTGGACATTTGTCCTGAAGGGCATTCACGAAAAGAACCCCATATTTATGTGCAAATGACTAGAATAGGCTTGGTGGGGTACTGTGAAACCATATTAAGTCATTGCTTCCTGTGTTATGTTGACCCCGGACTAATCAAGCTTGCGCCTTAGGGGTGTGCTTCCTCAAAGAGTGACGGTTTGCTTCTAGAAGGGCACACCTCCCCTGATCAAAACAAACCTGGCTCCCAAAATACAGGGGATGTCTGAAGGAAAGCCCACGGGAAGGCCCCCGTTGTTGCCCTTCTGGCTTCCTCTTAACCCTTTCCGAAAGGCCGCCTCTATTGTGAGAAACACACATATGGCTATGATGTTCAATGGCGAAAATCCTTCAAGACGTGGTTGCCTGAAATGCCCACCCAAATGATGTCCACCAAAGGGTCCATCCATACTACCCCATTTCGGCGCTCCTCCGCCAGGTCGTCCGGGTCCGTGTGGTCTTCCGGCACCGTGCTAAGAACCTCCCGACTGGTGGACCGCAAATCCTCCCGCAGGCGGTGGATGTAGTCCAACGTCTCGTGGGACAAAAAGTTCCTGGCGCTGTTTGTCGCTTCCGCCGAGGGGCCCGAATTTCAGGGGTGTCCTAGTGTCCTACGGAACGACCCATACCACAAGAACCTGATAGGGAACCATTAGAAACCAGCAACCCCCATCCCTCCGTGGGTTTCGTACATGCTTCACAAGGCCACCTTTGGAGCCGAGATCGCTCGCAAAAAGCAAAGGACGCACAAGATGTCCATGTCTACTTTGAACAAAGGACCCTTCGCTGGAAGTAGAATTCAGGGTTGCTACGTCCCCTTAAGCATTCCACCAAAAGGAAAGTCCCCAAAATCCAAAGGACCCACCGGAGTTTGAGCGATGAGCAGCTCCATTGGAAGGTTTTGGACCTCAAACCGGGCTCGAGGGACAAAAGTTCCTGGCCAGTGAGTCCAAACAAAATGCATGTTATGTCTGCCACAATCAAAGACCCTGAAACACCCTGGCGGTTCATCACGCGACCCACAAAAATGCCAAAACAAATTTGCCCAACAATGTTTATCCTACCCAAGGCAAAGCAACCCGAATTGGACCCTCAAAATAGGCTCATCAGCTTTCAACGCTAGGGTGAAGCTTCCCACTTTCGATAAGTGAGTATGTCCTTTGTGAGGGTGCCCGTTTTGGGGCACAAATAGAGAACTTGAGGAGCCCTGCCATCTCATCTGGGCAAATTGCAAGAATTCGCAAACTGGAACCAAGACATCCCTGCAAAACCGACCTTCATCATAGGTGAGCTCACTGCTCAGCCCGTTACTTGCCGAGATATTCTCTAAGAGCACGTTTTTTGCGGGTCTCCTCCTGGCAAAGTCCCTCTTGCCCACGCGCCAGCCCTCATAGGCGTTCACCAAGGCGATCAAATCGCTGCGGGACTTTTGGGCCAAGTTGAGCCGCGCTTGGTTCGCGGCCTTCTCCATACCCATGGGACACTGGAAGGGAGACCTGGCCGGGTCTGTGGTGCGTTTGCACCCGATTTGTTGTTTTGTTGGAAAAGTGTGGGATCCCAAGGAAATGGTTCCCCTGCATGCAGTTGTTCAATTTGGTAGTCTAAAAATAACACATCATACAGTGCTTCCACTGTGCCTATGTGCCTGGTGCCATACTACAGGACCTGATCGACCATTCCTGTCCATGACAACAAAAAGAACCTTTCAAGAGCGAAATCCATAGATTTGTCCAAGCCAAACAGAAATCACCCTTCCGCTGGCCCCATTGTCTTACGATTGTCCGAGTCACCCTTACGTGGTAAACAAACCCGCTTCTGACTTTGACAACTCCCAGAACCAATCAAACAACAGACCCCTGGCCAGCATGGCCAGTGCAACCCCTCAAAATATCCACCTTAGCTTAAGTAGTTTCTGCAAGGGGCATGGACCACATTTACTTTTTTGTTGCCGACTCAGGCGCTTGTAGCCCAGGGATGCGCAGATGGTGAGCATCTGGTTGTGGCAGCGGAAGGGCACTGACAGCAAGAGCAGCTTCCCCAGCATCGGGTGAACCTCTCGGTTCTCAGGCTGAAGGCTGGAGTCTATGGGCTGCAGTCTTGTTCTTTCTTATGGACTCACCTATCATCACCCATTGCCCGTCAGGAGACGGATGAAGCAATGGGAGAGAGAGAAAGGGATATCATGTCCTTCTAATTCCCACGTCCACAGACGAGAAAGGGAATTAGGGAGAAAAGGACATGATACTACCCAGCCACATCTAGAAAGCCGGGAAAAGAGACTACACATGAGACCAAAAGTGACTCAAGGAACGGTCTCATGCTTTCCTCTCTCTTTCTTCTTTACCTGTCTTCTCCCATCACTTTCATTGCATTGAAAGGAAAGGGAGAGAAAAGACAGTAAATGAGATATCTCTCTATCCCAAATGCAGAGAAAAGAGATATGGCATTTGGGGAAGCCCGGCAATTCAGGATTTCTATAGTGAAGATAAGCCGGGCAAATATAAAGAGAAAAGACATATGAAGTTATTCTTTACTATCATATCCTTTTCATTTGTTGAGATTAGTTAAGAGAAAGGAGATGATAAAGAAGAAGCAAATAATAAATGAATAGACAGACAATATGCTTTTTTATCCTTTCATATTGACGAAGTAATGAAAAGGAAAGCATATTATCATGTCTTATTTTATTTATTTATTTATTTATTTTTTTTTTTTTTTAAAAAAAAAAACATCTCTTAATTCCAGTCTGTATTCTTGGTTTCTGAGACTGGAATTATCCATCTTTTACTTTATATCTCTTTATTCCTCACTTCCCTCGGTCATTCTGGATTCTTGTTGTTTGCATGTTTCCAAGACTTTATTATTGCCAACAATCCAGAATGAAGGAGATGTATGAGTGAAGAATGAACGGGGAAAGGAAACTAACTCCAAATGCATTCTGTTTCCTGCATTTGGTCATGATATGATGGAGGCTGTAAAGAAGAGATCCCATGAACACAGCCTCCTACTTCCTTCCCATTCCTTTCCCAATCCTTTATCTGATGCATGAGATTCCTTAAGATGAATAAGATAACATATTAATGCATCAGAATAAAGGGAAAAGGAAGGAAGGAAGGACTAGAGATGGAGGAAGGATTAACCTCTATCTGTCTATCTTTTCCTATCACCCCTCTCTTCGCTCGGGCAATGGTAAATAGGTGATAGAAGGAAAGAAACATGATAGACAAAGTGCCGCCATCATATCTTTCCCATTGGCGGCGAGAAAGGCATGTGTGTGTGGTCACTCCGGAAGGAATCTCCGTTCACACACTCTCTCTTTCCCACATCTCTTTTCCCATTATTCACTTCTTCCTGTTCCTTTCATTCCATTCAATCCACGAAGGGAAGAGGGATGAGTGAGAACAAAGGGGACAGCTCTCTCCTTCCTATGGTCGTCCATCACCTGTCTACAGATGAACCGCCAGGACGAAGGAAGGCAAGGAAGTAGATAGACAAAGTGAAGAGAGACGGAATGAAGATAGCATTCCTATTCACTTTGTGTTTACTGTCTATCATCTCCCTAATCCTGACCTGACTACAGATTACTTGGTTAGGAGGGATAGAGAGATAAAGGGAGAAAGGGATAGGATTTCGTTAGTTACTTCTCTTTTGGATTCTAGATTCTTGAGTTTACGGTTGGAGAGAGAAGATAAGTGAATGAAGAATAGACTCTAGAAGTGATAGAGATATGATGCAATGGAACAGTCTGTAGGGAATCTCTGGAATGCAGGATGAATAGATTTGTAAATGTATCTGGAATTACAGTTAAGACATTAGGATTACAAATTTAAGAAGACAAGAGAAAGAGAGTGATAAGAATGGAGGAAGATGTATATGCTCACTCACTCATGAAGTCTTCTATAGATACCTTCGTTCCTTTTCCTTTCACTCCTGCTCCTCAAAGTCACAGACCTTTCCAGGAATGAATCTATAGATGAGAGTGATTAGACAAAAGGAAAAGTTTTAATATAAGATCTTATTATCATCCTTTGTATTTGCTATCTTGGAGTCTTCTTTACAGCAAACCAATAAACTCCAAAGCAGTGAGGATGTATGAATGAGATGCAATAATGAAAAGGAGAGGAAAGAAGAAGTACATGTTCATTCCATCTCCAGTCTGTGTAGTGAGTGCTTACGATGGAAAGGCTTCTCAGGAAGTAATCATTCCTTTGTCCCTTCCTTCATTAACCCGGCATTATCTGAGGAATAAAGAACATATCATCCATCATTTCATATCTGGATTATAGATGTTATTGTTCCCAGGCACTAACGCTGTACTTGGAGGAAATGAAGGGGGGGGAGGGGGGGGTTGAACCTAGGGGGATGTTTAAACTACGGGAGGGGGGGGGGTACTTGAGCCACCAAAAGGGTCCTCCAGTAGAGAGGTTAGAATAAGGGTTCCCCTTTTTCCGTAGTCTTTTTTAGTAGGGGACCCCCCCCAAAAAAAAAAACGGTAAAAGGGCACCTAGCTGGGGGACCTAGACCTTAAAATCAAAGCAGCATCACCCGCCCGTCGGCCGCCTGCAGCCTCGCCAGCTGCTCCCCCAGCGGCGTCAAACCTTGCAACTGCAAAAAGTGGGCAAAAAAAGCGTGGTAGAGTAGAGGGGAAATCGCCAGTTCCCCCCCTCAAAAAAAGGAGAAAAAAGACCCCCCCAAAACAACACCAACAACAAATAACAAAATAGTTTAGTAATGAAACATCCACAACTCCAAACGGCATTTTTTTATTTGGTGGGATTGTTTGGCCTGAAAGTCCAAGTATTTGTTCTTTCGTGGGCAACAAGTCAGGTAAAATCCAGCTTCAAATAGCCAAGAAGCTGTGACCCTCCGCGTCGGTGACGGCGCCCAGGCGGTGCAAAAGCTCCAAGGCGTGCTGTAGCACCTACTTTGGATGAAAACATTTGCGCCATTTAGTAGGATCTTTATCCCAGAATTCACAGGGCGTGATTCCATTCCAACTGATGAAGGACTTGGTCCATCCACCGTATACCGGTCTTCCAGGATCTGACGACGTGAGACATACCAAAGGAGTCACCTCCCGCAGGGAGGCAAACAGAACACCCTTTTTGGGACTTTGGCATAGAATCCAAAACATGCTCCGAGAAAGTCGTCAAAGGACTACCGCCCTGCCCTCCGCCCCTCCTCCTACCAAAAAAACAAACAAAAACTGTACAAGTTTGGCTGCTTCGCTAGCAATGACACACCAACTTTCAGTGTAACCCAGCTTTGAGCTCAGGTGACCTAAGCGGTTGAAGTTCGAATGTTCACGCCAAACCTCATGACAATGAACCTTTTCTGCTGGGACCTTGGAACTACAAGACGTCGAAAGGCAGACTGTTGTGCCAAGAGGTGAGGGTTTGGGAGAGCTGAAAGTCCGGCATGTTCTTGGACTTCGCATCCTGAATTGACTCGAAGTGAAACATAACATAAGACGTTAAGCCAAAACGATCCAACTAGTTGTGGCAGGGTCCATAGCCCGGGGGGCGGCGTAGAATCAAGTGCGAGCTTGGTTGCCTCAGAGCTCGGCACGGTTCAGTGCGAATACTCTATTTGGGTTCTCGCCTAAGTTGCAAGTTGTGGGCCAATAACCGAATAACCTTTTGTATCTTATAACTTACTAAGTCCAAGACAATTTAGTGGCTAACCACTTCCCAAGCCGTCATGGAGACGCGATGCAAGCGCCTCCTTGGACGGTGGGCTCAAGGCCTCTGCAAGGAAGTCTACAGGCCGGCCCAGCTGAAGCGAGGCCACCTCGCGTCATCTGCAGTTCCAAGCTGGGTGCGTTCCATTGGCCTAAACATGTATCAACGCCTCGTATGTTTCAAATCCGTTCAACCCAAAACAAGCAAAACAAGCCGACCTTCAACAATCTAGAAACAAATCGAAGAGCTGGCTGGTGCTTGGAAATCTCCGATCTGCTCATTTGCTCGTTGCTTTTCCTTTTACAAAAAACTTTGGCACTCCTTTGTCTCATTCTCGCATCCCAAGCCAGCCAAGCATGTTTTTGGGCATGTCGGTTTGGTTGGGTTCAAGCAGAAAAAAACAGGGGCGCCGCCAATTCTAAGCCGCTAATGGAGATGCCCCCACTGACCCGGGGGCGCCTCAAGACAAAGCTCCTCCAAGGGCGAGCGCTGCATCTCGGGCAGCTGGTATTCGTCCATGGCCTCGCGGAAATTCAATTAATCGATCCCATCTGCAAATCCTACGTCTTCAAATGAGAATTGAATCGAGTAAATGTGTGTTTTTTGTTTCGCCCCTTGTAACCTTCCCATGTGAGATCGCGGTAAACTAGGCATACTCAGCAGGACATCCGCATCGCCAATTGCCATGCTCCAAGTGGTGAGTTCTAAGCAAGGTTCATAATGTCCAAATTAGGTCTCTTATCAGTCACCCCCCACCACAAACTGGATGTCACGAGCCCCGGATGCTCATTTTTGTCCATGGTCCCTTTGCCCAACTGAGGGAAACCTTAAATGAAGCATGTTATACGTTTATGTGGGGCTGACGATTGTTTTTGTCGTGAAAACGCCATAACTAAAATAAGCAGAGTTCAACGAAGACCTGCTCAATCGAATTGGTTGAGCCCTGCATGCCTAAAAACCACCGATGGCTAACCTTCGGCAAAGACATACTTGAGTGGCTGGAATGGAATTCATATGATTCAAGCACCAGAGCAATAAATTGCAAACAACCCACCACACCAAACGTCCAACAATAATTAGCAACAATCAAATACACCCTAAACCTCAATGAGTTGTTCTTGCTTGGTATCAACAATGCAAGCAAACGAATCCACAAGTCAAACATATCTTTCTGCTTCAACATTTTGTTCGTTGCAGCCCCCGACAAATTGGGCAAAACAGGTTTGCCTGGCGCTTCGCGTTGCCGATGTTTGGCCCAGACAAAGAAACTGCAGCAGCTCAGCATAGCACACGTCCCCTCTCTGAGCTGGCAAATAAAAGGCAATCTGTGAGCGCCCAAACCTAACCCCGCACATCCCCACAAACACCGAACCCCCCCCAATCAGCAAACCTGCTCGCATCCAAAGCCCTCGGCCCACCCTAAAACTTCCTCAAATCCCGCCAACTGAAATCATGAGGGCCCCCTTGGTGACACTTGGTGACACCGTCTTCTCTGTTTACCCGCCAAGAGAAACGACTGGAAATGTATAAACTCGATGTGGCGTCCCCCTCGCCCCCGAAACCCCTTGGTTCCGCCTCCCACTGCAGCGAGCTGAAAAGGCGGAACCACACCCCGGGGCGGCACCGGCCGGCGCGGCCCCGGCGTTGGAAGCCGTTGGCCTTGCTGTACCACACCGTGCGCAGAGCCGAGATCTTGGTGTCCTAAACACGCCAGGGACCAAGGTAGGTCAGGTCTTGTGATGTGGGAGAACCATGTGTCTGGCCAAACGAATCCGTGCCGCCGAAAAACAAAGTTGATATGCCGTTTTTTGAGGAACCCCTCTTTTGGTGGTTTGGAAGAGAAACCAAAAGGACAACCGAAGAATTGGGTCCAAACATCCAGGATCATTCGGGCACTAAACCAATCCACGACCCCACCACGACCCCACCACGACCCGACCACGACCCGACCACGACCCGACCAGAACCTTGGGGGGGCCTAGACCAACCCTTAACCACCCAAAGCCAACCTAAACCGCAACCCAACCACAACACACGGCCAAATGACAACAGCTGATGATATCAAATGCTATGCCCACAACTACAGATTAAGAGAAATATTATCTAAACTGGCCATCCTGTTACGCATATGCTGGATCTTGCTTGTTTTGGTTGTATGGCTCAACATTCCCCAATTGTGGCGCAACATGTGGCTTTATGCTGAGGGGCAGTCAGCTTTTGATAAAGCCTCTGGCAGGGCAACTTATTGCTCAGACCCCAAACACAAAGCCCTCAAAAACAATGCACATAGCGACAAAACATGCCATGGTGGTGATGTGTCCTGCTTTAATTGGGGGGATTGCCATAAATATGCGTGTATGCATATATATATATATATGCGTCTCACTCTGGCGATTTCCACTATTAACAGTTCATAATGAATGGCAGGCTATGTACAAACTATCACAACTCTTGGTCTACCACAGGCTCGTCCTCGGTTGTAGAACAAACATCTTCTCAATTGACCTTCATAGCCGTACGACGAAACAAGGCCCAGTGACTCCAAGTAGCCAAGTCAACAGCTCATGGCACGCAGCATGTTAGGAAAACGTCCCAGCAGCTCTTTTTCAGACCACTTCATGACCGGCGACCTGGTCGCAGTTGTCCAGTGACCCTCGTTGCGGGTAATCATTTGGAGGAGAACCAACCGAACACAGGAGAGATTCAGGGTGGATTCCACTGAACAAGTGGGTATTTCGTCCTCGTTCAGGAAGGTGCTGCGGCTGCGGCCACAATCCACCACATAGACGATGTCCTGCAAAGGCCCACGTGACATGTGCCATGGTCAACATGTCTCAAAACGGTGCCACGGCGGACACCCTAAGACAAGGCAAATGATTAAGCAACGAAAGACACAACATGAATTGGACTGCTTCGTGGTTGGCTTGGCCATATCCTGCCTTCCTGTGCCATTGGTCTGTGTCTTGAACATCATACTGGCACTTCCAGTAAGTCACAGTTCATCGTGGCCAAGAGATTTGGCACTTTGTGTCCTCTTGCATTTGGCGGTTGAGTCATCATTTATCGAATCCGTCCTTCCAATTTTTGGCCTCTTTGCACCTCTGAAAGTGTAATAGTAGTAGTAGCAGCAGCAACAGCAGAAGCAGCAGTAGCAGTAGCAGTAGCAGCAGCAGTAGCAGTAGTAGTAGTCATAGTCATAGTAATAGTAGCAACTGTGGTCATAGTAGCAACTGTGGTCATAGTAGCAGCAGTAGACGACCTGCCCAAAAGCAGCATGAATCCGGATGTAGGCTCTGGGTTCGACTCCTCCACGGTGATGGAGGTTTCCGCCAACACTGTCGCCACCACCACCTTCCGCCCACTCTGCGGCGCGAAAATGGCCTGCTGCTCCCAAGTGGGAAGCCTCGTTCCGCGCGCATCCCACGTCGGGGGCACAGGGGACGCACTAAGAGGAGCCCAAGAAAACCCCCAATCTTCTGCCCTAGCCCCTATTGGGACTGGGAACCGCTTTTGGGGGCCCTTGACAACTATCAGAGCGCAAAGTTCAGATGCGTATATAAACATCAGCATGTGGACCTGCAAAACGGTAGTTTCCCTTTTGGTCTTCCAGCACACCAGCCCAAAAAGGGGCACCCCGCAAAACACAACAACAACAACAACACACACACACACAAACATGCAGATGGTGTCCAAGCCAAAGCAGTAGCAGGGTATAGCAGGGTACAGCCACTAGCCACTCTGCCCCTAGCTTCGGTTTGCGGAGCGGAAACCATCTTCGATTCGCATAGATTGAGCAAACAGGGGGGCGACTGAGTGTGTTCAAACATAGCCTTTGACGAAGCATGAAAGAAGTTGGGCGTCCCTTCATATTCAAAATGTAGTCGGCTGGGTGACACCGCAGCTTGAACTGCTTCCCATCCTTTGGCTGACATCACTTCTTTTTCATGTCCGGCAACCACTTCGTAGGTGGTTTCCAAAAGTGGGTCGCTTCCACAAGACTGTAGTCAAATAATGGTGGAGGCCTTCCAATTCAAAATGACCCGAAACGAGCTAGGAGCTTTTCGCCAGATGCTGTGCTCGTTTTGAATGCCTCGGCGTAGACAGCAAAGGCAAATGGCTATGAATTATGCGTTGTAAGAGTTACCACCACGAGCTGCCTGCCGGTCCCTCTTTCCTCCAGTTTCAAGTGGAAAATATAGGGAAGCACCTGTTCCGAAGTACCCCCCATTTGGGTGTGTGTCAAATAGGGGGACCACGAAAAATCGCGGTTGTCCCCTTTCAGCCAACCAACAAATGGCACCGCATTTGTCGTCTTCCGGCCTTGAGTGAAGGGCATGGATCGACAGGTCTGCAGCAAAGGGCAAGGCCTGAAGCCGCTCGATGGTGTTGGTTATCCTGGGCCAGTCGGCGCATCTCAAACATCAGTGAAGGGATCCCAAAATGGTGGTTGCCCTTTGGTTTCCTTTTTTTTTTTAACAACAACCCCAAACAGGGTAATTACCCTTGATTAAAACACAATATGTAAATACACACGCACGCACAAATGTATGCTATGGACTTCCCAAGACAACCTTTGGGATCAACACCATTCAATATTTTGGTCCACAAGCGAGCTAAGCCCTGACAATGCCACCCTCGCCGAACAAAAGTGGGGCCTAGACGGATCAGCCTGTTGGCAAGTGCTTGGCCGATGTTGTCATGGGCCTTCGATCCAAGCAACCATGCTGTTGATCTCACACTGCAATCAAATTGTGTTTCTCAAAAGCGGGTGGTCTCTGGATCTGGTGGCTGCTTCAATCCGGACGTTTGGAAGAGCCAAGATAAATTTGAGACACTGAAAGCGCCGAACTACATACAACTCAACAGTAGCTGTGGCAAAATGAAATGCGAATCAGTATGAAGCAAGACTCTCGATTCGGCGAATCGGTACATATTCCCCAGCTGCCCAGTGACCCATAAAAAAAGAATTGGACACCGCGGGGTGGACGACTTGCCAAAAGGGAAAAGCAAGGGTGAAATCCCTGAACCATAGGTGACCTTTTGGAGAAATAGATGGCCCTGGCAATGGGGCATAAAGCCATTCTCAACCAGAACGCATCTATGTCTAACCTAAAATCTAAAAAGGACACCTGTGCACTGAACACCTGGGTGCTTACTCAGGCCTCGAACGGCCAGCTTTCGGCTTCTCCGAGGCACTCAAACCAGCCGGGCATGAAGATCAGGATGCCGCCAGGCTCGTTGGACCCATGGATCATCTGCACAACCTGTCGAGGTGGTATCGATAGCCCTCGACAGAAAACAAAAATGCATGCCTGTCAGGGTTTTTTGGAGCCTGCGCATATGTGTATATATATATATATATACCTGAGGCACCCAACGTGCCTTTGCTTTTAGGTACGAGAAATAAACCGCTCGAATTACCGATTCTGCTCGACCCCCCAAAAAACGCTCGCCCCCCGAAAAAAGCTCGACCAAATCCCCTTCTTCCATCCAGAGGAAGGCGGGCATTGTTACGTTTAAAAAAACAAAAAAAGCACTCGTTTGCGGATATTTGCGCTCGTTCTGCGGATATTTGCGCTCGTTTTGCACTTCGATTTCTGCTCGCTCCTTTCGAAAATTTCAGCGACCGATTATCTTGGAGGACCGACCAGCCCGATTTTGGGAAAAACGCTCGAAATAGGAAAAAGTGTACGTTTATCATATTTTGGTGACGACCCCTGGTTTTGCAATACGTTTGGGCTGAGGGCAGAAATTTAGGTAACGACGGGTGCTCCAGGTACACATATGTACGTCTATGTGTTTGTTTATATATATATATATAATATACACACGTGTTTTCATTCCACAGGCATAAAATCATGGCCTCAAAGAGGGCCCATATTCAAACCGAGTTTTTGCCCAATCTGGCCTGCGGTCGGGCAATTGAACTGAGGGCCGTCCTCAACACCATCAAAGAGAATGTGTGCTTCCGCCAACTTTGACCAGTCTGGTAACCCAGTCCAAACCAGCGATAGAAACGACTGCAACTGCGGCGTTGCTGCCTGGAAGTGGAAGTCGTCTGAACTCAACTGGACTCATTGAATTAGATTGTTGGAACTTCTTCACATATGGATACTGGACACTGGAGGCACTGGAAAAGCTTTGCTTGCCTTTCCAATCAGTGGTATTGCAAGGGTTTGTTGACCAATTGAAGGCCAAGGCCAAAGTGATGATTTGCGATTCAGTGACTCCTCACTTGAGCCAGCAGTTGTAACAGCAGCAGCAGCAGCAGCAGCAGCAGCAACAGCAACAGCAGCAGCAGCACCTTTAAGTTGCGGTCACTTGTCTCATGTCAAGGCCACAGGAGGGACGTTGGAGGTTTTGCGTCTTCACCAACTCAGAGTAGCTAGCTGTACATAAGAGTCAGAACCTCCTTTTAACGATATCCTGTCGAGGAACTGGCAAAATTGTCCATCTCTTGAACATGGATGATCAAGTAAGTGGATGAAATCCTTAGTTAACTCCCCGACATTGAATATGTGTAGGGGAGATCCCACTTAGCAAACTGATTCTCTGGCAAGATTGACCACTTGCGGTGGTCATCCAAGTGAACCACTGGACGCAAGCCCTAAACCCACCCGGCACTAAACTGACCTAAACCCGCATTAAGCCAGCACTAGACCAACTCTAACCCAGCCGAAACTACCCTAAGCCAAAACTAAACCCCAAAAAAACACCAAAAAACATATTTCTAAATCCCCATTTTGTCAGCACCAAGCCAACCCTAGACAACATAAAGCATCTGACGCTCGCCAGCCAAAAAGGCCTGCACAACCAGTTCGTAGTCGATGTCCTCCGGCCGCTGCTGGTGCACCCACGCCAGGTCTGTCGCCAGGTCCATGGGAAGCTGCAAGGCCTCTAACCGTGGAGGCTCGTGTTTTGGGAAACCAACATGGATTTTGGGTTTGCTTTTGGTTTCCCTGCAAAACCAAGAAGGGACGCACTTGGTTGGTACTAACTTGGTACGCTGCACAAAACAATCACGGAAGGAACGCGAAAAGGTGGTCAATGTCTAAGAGATTCTACGAATGGGTGCTTTGTGGGGTTCCATGTCAATCTGGATTGGTTGGCACTTCAGGGAAACAAAAGGACACCACCCGTTTTAGTGGCCAACTTTGACACATGCCCAACAAGTCGACGTGGCTTTGTCCTCTGGGAGGGGGTGTTGAGGGCAACCCACAGGGTTGGCTTCCCTAGCTGGGGTTCAATGTCCCGGGTGCTTTCGAGCCCAGTTGAGAAAAGAAGCAAGTCAACTCTCCGCATTACATACGTGTCTGACACTGCCTGTCGCCCATTTGAGAGGAAGATACCACATGCTGAGTGCTATCCTTTTACCCTTGTTTCTCGGCCGGAAGACATTGTGTCACGCATGTTTTGGTCTAATATGCTCAAGCTCGACTGGAAGAAACCTTCAATTTTGACAACCTAACACACGCACTAATTGACTAACCTGCCGAGTTTAGCAGCCTGCCCTTGCGTGGTGATTTGGAGTGCTTTCTGCTGTTTTTTTTTGTATCAAACGATCGAATCCCCAAACAACGACCAGCCAAAACAGAATGTGTTCAGTTTTGGGGTCACCTCTGCACTAAAGGGGAAGCCGCCAAGAACAAAATACAATGTGTGTCCGCTAGCTGGGTGAGGAACAACTCGTGAGGACTACTCTCTGTCTCTGTCTCTGTCATCTGCCAAAAAAAACCTAACATCCCTGCTGAAACGGGGATGTGGTCAAACTGGCCCAACGCCAGGTGTTCGTGGCATTCGCCAGAGAAGGCGTCCCACGTCTTCGCGAGTCTAACAAGGCGCGCCTTGCCCGTGCCGCAACCCCCCGCTTTGATCAAAACCGGACCTCCCGCCTCTGCGAGGGCGCGCTCGTCTTGAGGAACCGGCAGCGGCTTTTGGCCCATGGAGCCCTTGGAATTCGATTTCCCGCTGCGGCGCCAGCCTGGGCGATCTGGCAGCTTTGGCAAGATCTCCTCAAGGAAAAGCTCCTGGGCCACACTTCAACTCAGAGAACAACATGGGAAGCTCCTCGTCTTTGCTCCACACCAAGGGGTTTGGCCAAACCTGTTTTGGGATCCAACGACTGGTCAGTCCAAGGAGAGGAGTGCTGGTGCAGATTCCACTGCGAGGGCTGAGGAGGGTCGGAAAAGGGCAGCAGTGTCTCGAACTCTGCTTCCACACCCTTGCCATCGTCCTCTCCCTATAGTGATGGGAGCTGTTTTACCATGTTGGATTCTGTCTTAGTTCCATCCACTCGCAGTAGCCAAGGTTTACTGCCCTCCCTTAAGCAAATTGCGTGCGAATGGCAGTCACAAGAGTTGGGCACATTTCGTGGCCAGGGGGACATTGTGCGCCGCCCTTCAAGGTGCTCCCAAAAACGGGCTACCATATTGTCACCCCTACCACGGAGCAAACATATGAAACCTTTCAAGTGGAACCAAAGCATGTAGGAGGGGAAATCATTACCCGTGGTGAGAGCTTGCTATGCTCCAAATCATGACTGCAATGCCAGAAGTGCCTCATTCGGTGGGTGGGCAGTGGGCACTAGATGTTTTTGTACTCGACCAGCTTAACATTACTGTGTCCTTTCATCATGATCTCGCAACATCAGGTAAATCGGTCGGTGTCCTTTAAATCTAGGACTGCCCTTGCGACAGTCCCAAAAAGGCAAGCCTGGTCATAGCTCCTGAATGGGAAAGTTGGTCTTCCCTGGGATGCTCACGGTGTGAATGCCTTCGAAGTAGCTTTGGAAGGCCGAGGGGTCCACAGTGGCAGACATCAGCACCAGCTTCAGATCGGGTCGCTCATTCCTTGTAAGGATACTCTCTTGGGCCATAACTACGAGGGCATACACCATTCAAGTGCGGCTGGGTACTTAAGAAAACATATATATATATATGTATATTTGTTTTATCCTGCAGCAAAAGTAAAACCCCAAAGGATCAAAAGTTCGGAGCGAGATTCAGCACGCGGCGTAGCAGGATTAGAAGAAAATCGGTGTGCAAATCCCGCTCGTGCACCTCGTCAACAATGATGTGTGTGGCCCCATCTAGATTGGGATTACTCTGCATCACCTTCAGCAGGATACCGACCGTGCAAAACACCACCTGCGTGGTGTCTTCGATCTTGTCCTCGAAGCGAATCCTTTGCCAGCCGCGGGCAAAACACATGCCCCGTCTTTGTAGCTGATGTCAATGTAACCCTAAATAGATGCAATAATCAACCACTTCAACAATACTACATCCCCTTCTTTTGTTTGTATTTTGGGCTGCCGCCCAAACCAAGGAAGCAGCTTTTCCAAGAAACCGGACACAACTATATGAAGGAGAATGGGTGAAACCTGACTGCTTGCCACCCATACAAAACAAATAAATGTGGTAAGAAGCGAGTATCCCGAGTTTCCTCAATGGGTCAAACCAACCCCTGGCCGGGTGTCTCAAAGGAAACTCAGGTTAAATTGGCGTCTCAAGTAATGTCTAAAAACCATCACAAGGGGGAACCACCGGAAGGGGAGCCAATCCAGTGGTTGCTCTGGTTGCACCAAACAGCCGAACTTGTCCAAGCCTCCAACTGTTGGGAAAACAACAATTTACGCTGGGATCAATATTTTGAGAAACCCCCAAACAAAACAAAACACACTGCAAAGGCAAAGCAAACAAAAACATGTACCCTTCCCGCAACAATCATGGAGGTTGACAGGGAGGTAGTCTTCCCACACCTTGCTGGAGGGAGGGTACTTGGGTGTTCGGCCACGTTAGTAAGCTGTCAGCAACGTGGGTTTTACTTTCCAAAGTGGAGTTAACCTCGTATTAGTGGGTCACAATCCAAGCGACGAACCAGTTACTAACTTGGCAGAACATCCAAGTACCTGACTGACTTGCGCAAAGGACCCACAAATAAAAAGGTCATGACTCAAAATGGACCAACAAGGGGGCAACCAGAAGGTCAAAAGGTCGGCTTTGGGCCACCGTGTTGGAGGGAGGATACCTGGTTGCCACCGAGATTCTTAAAGCTCACGGATTCCCCGAGCCGAGTATTTCGTTCCTTGGCCACTCGCTCCGCCACGGACACCGCAGAAATGCGCCGGGGCTGCGTGGCCACGATGCGGCAATGCGCGGACCTCTGGAGGAAATCCTCCAAGATGAACTGAGGCACCTGGGCCAAGCATGCCCAAAGTACCCTCCTGTATTCAATAAATAAAATGGGTCAAAGGTGGACATCTAGATGTCGTGCATGTGTTTGTTTTTCGAGGGTGGCATAGCACCCTCCTAGCCTTTGAACAACGCTTGGATTCCAAACTTGCACCACAGGGTTTGATCCATGTTTTGGACCGTGTTTTGACCCAGGTGCATATCTGGAGCCGCCTCAGGAGGTTGGTGCTGAAGGACACCAAAAGGATCATCTCTGAACGGGAGGTCTAGGGACCCCCTTGGACATATGCACCCAAAACCTGTAATGAAAGGCATCTCCTTTTTGAGCAACCCTTTTTGGGAGTGTCCTTTTTTGAGGAACCCACCTGTGTGGTCTTGCCGCAGCCTGTAGCGCCCAGGATCAGTGTCACCTGGTGCCTTCGTATCGCTGCGCATATCTGAGGCCCCAAAGCAAAGGCTGGCAGCCGCTGTCGGCTCCCCCACAAAGGTGACATCTCCGCGGAGGACCTTGGACGATTTGACCCCAAACGGGTCGCCTGGGAGTTGTGTGCGGGGTGCCTTCGCATGGAACTTGGTCAATGGGTCAACATCCTCACCAGGTATGAAGGGACCTCTGTGGTTAGGCCCAAACCCGAAACTACTTGAAGGGGCAGGGTACTTAGAATGGTCGTTAACCACTTTGCAAAACACCTTTCACCTCAAACAAATATTGCTCTGACCAACCATCATTTTGGTAGAGGGAACAGACAGGGCAAACATGTCCCAAAACCAAGCATCATGGAACCGGACAGCATGTCCCTAAAAAACCATTTTCCTCAAGAGACCTTCTGGTGGCTTCCATGTGAGAAAGGGTAGGACCTGCAAAAAAAAACATGAAATAAGAATTAGATCCAAGCAAAGGACCCACATCGTGGGATTTGGCTGATTCTAACCCGAATCGGTGGACTCGCTCGACACCCATCAACTAGGCAGCACCACGTGTCTGAAAAGAGGCGAACAACAAATTGTGTGGTATGCCAAGGGAAAAGGAGTTTAGGTCCCAGGACCCTGCGACATGGGGCCCTGACCTTTTCCTTTTGGGTAATTTATGCCCGGGGTCATGGAGACTCCAAGTCCAGGTGGCCTACAATGGTGCCTGGGATCTACTGATCCACTGGGTGTCGTTTTGAATAGATGACACTGGCTGGGTCTCCTTATGTTCATGCTAACTTCAAACTAATCCGGAAGCCCCAACTTTTCCCAACAATCCCCTAGAATCACCCATGTCTTCTTGAAACCAGGAGCCACCCCTATTTGTGGTACTGAGTCATCGGAGGTCAACATTCGGATCTCCAAGGCGCAAGCCCCGCGGCTCCGCGCGCGCGTCGCGGCGCAGGAAGTCCAGGGCCTCGCTCCGCTGCCGCGCCACGCGGCGCGGCGCCTTCACTGCGCTGAGCGCCGCGGCCGCCGCCGCCAGGCGGGAGGCGCTGAAGCGCACGAAGACGGCGTCCGCGTAGCCGTCCTGGTGAAAAGGCCCATTGTTAGCAGAAATTGACCTCGCGAAAATCATGACCTGGGTTAGCAACATTTAGCAACGTACGAACTTGGCCGAACATCCAAGTGACCTCCCAGATTTCCTGGGAGCACCAAAAGCCACCAACAATCCTTTTCATTGATCCTGCTCAGAAATCCAGCAAGACACCCACCCAAATTACCAGGAAAATGTTCCAGAATTGAACAGACCCTTTGAAAAGGATGCGGGAAACCCGTCCGCATCGCCCAGGGAGAAGCTGTTGCGGACCAGTCGAAGCTCGGCGAGCTGACACTCCTTTCTGCAGCTCTCTGGCAATTGCTTCAAGTTTCGAAGCTTCAGCTCGGCAGCTGCTGAAACCCAAAGCTCTTGTGGCAGCTCCCGGGAGATGTGGGAGACCTTGCACTGGCCACCAGCTTGCTCACAAATCTGCCTCACTGACTCCACCAATTTCTCCCTCAGAACACTGGGGTCGGTTTGGATGCCTGTTGGCCGTGCCAGCGCATACACGCCCTTGGACACCTTGAGCCATGCTGCACCCATCTCAGGGGCAAGGCTACGTATGGTGTTCCTGTAGGAGTTGCTCAGCCACTCCATCTCCTGCTGGGAATCTCCCGAGCGCAGGAATTCGCTGATGCGCTGACGGCACCATGAGATCACTGCTGGGTCGTCTGATGGATCCACAAACTGGCGCCAGTACGGCTTGCTATTGCTCGATGACTGCCATTTGTTCCAGCCTTTGCCCCAAGCACGGCCCATTCCGCATGAAAACGCGGCGGAATGCGTGAGTCAAATCATGCCTCTTGCTTGCTTGGTTGCTTCTTTGCTTTCTTGCCTATTCCAAACCTGCAACAAGGGATCAGTAGCAAAGTGCAACAATCAGCAAAGCGCAGCCATCAGCGTGTCAAGACATTGCTTATACAATTGTGGGTGAGCAAACCTTGATCTTCCAGGACCCTGAAAAAGCAGGCCTTTGGCAGATTTTCCTTTTCTAACCAAGAGCAAAATCAAGAAGGACCCTATTTTTGCGGGCCCTTGGAAGACCAAGGAAAGCATGTTTTGCATGGCAGCGCTGCTCCAAACATCTCTCATGGACACTCATGCCTATGTGAGCCTCCAAGCCAAAGCGTGCGAGAAGGCCCCTAGGATATCCATGTATGTTTCGGTTTGTTCCTGGACCTTGGCCCGGTTTAGTTGGTTCAATGTAAATCGCATGCCATACAACTACCATTCATATATATATATATATATATATATATATATGCATATATATATATATATATATTTGTACATAAATATATATGTACACATAGATTCTATGTATCTCTTCTTTTTAACTGTATGATATATGCAATTGATGCATTCTGACATGTATCATAAGTCACTGGGTGTTACTTTCGCAACACATACATAAGAACACTCCATATTGATGCTGCTGCAAATAGGTTGCAACATATGGAGTCGAAACATCCTTGCTGCGCCATGCGTTGCGTGTATGTCAACTTGCAAGGGGGCACGATCCATCTACTGATGCAAACGTCCCGTCACGCCTTTGTGCGGGTGGATCTCAAAGCTGCGCAAGGATCGTCAATGACAACACACCGAAACAAACTCTTGCATAGCCTTCCAAGGCGTAGGGATCCACGCTGAACTTAGCTCTAAGAACCACCCAAGAAACCAAGGGATCGCCCTTCTTGGTCTTTGGTTTTTCAAAAGGAACAGGCGGATTCTTAAAAAGGAAAAACATCACCCGACTCGCCCCCAGCAAAACAAACAACTGGCCCAAGAAGGTAGACCCTTTGTTTGGTTGATTCTCCAGTTGATTCCCCAAATGTTGCACGTTGGGAAAAAAGACAACCCCACAATTTACAAGCATTCATGCATGCACTTGCAAGCTTTAAGAGATTCCGATCAAGTGTACACCTCCAAACGTTAAAAAGCTTCGAAGTTCAAACAAAAGCTGGATCCACTTTAAAAGTCACCAAGTGGTAGGTTGGAAAGCACCCCCTGCAACCAAAAGCAAACACAAGGAGGCACCAAAGTCCAGGAGCCCCAAGCCATGCTTTTCGGCATATCTGACAGGGCGCGCTGGATGTTCCCGATCGCTACGTTTGAAGGCTCCGAAAAGGACATGGAGGAATTGCTAAGAAAACACATAAATACATAAATACATAAATACATAAATAAACAATTCAATAAATGAATGAATCAATACATACATAAATAAATGAATAAAGACCGTCACATGCATTGGGCAAACAATCTCTGAGGCGACGGCTTCTTAGGCACCACCACCAAGTCCTCCACCAAGCGCTGCAGCCCCGCCCTGCTGTCCTCCTGCTCACCTCAAGGTGCTTAGGGCCCAGGAAGCCGCTGACGAAGGTAGGCCCTGTTACAAATAGATGAAAAGGAGATCAAAAGCACTCATACAAGAGAAATGTGTATATATATATATACATATATATATATATATATGTATGTATGTATATATATATGATAATGTATGTATGTATGTCTCGCCTCAAAGTGCTTGTTCTAGGGCCCAAAATTGAAAACGCGTGTACAAAAAAAAAGTGTATATACGTGTATATATGTATACACACATGTGAGCAACATCCATTGTGCTCCTCGCGTGAGCATATCGTTCCGGGTATAGTTTGGATACGCAGTGCTTTTTAGTTCTGGTGTGTGTGTGTGTGTTTTCTCATGTACGTGTATATGGAGGGGTATTGTTTTTGAGGGCCTGTCTCGGTTTACAGCGTATTCGCTCACTCTTGCCAAATGTGAGTTGACTTTTATACATCGGGGGAAAACAACGTGACTCATATGTGTGGTAAATCATCGTTGGCAGAAATGGTAGGGTATCGATGTGTTTGTCGCCGGTCTCTGTAAAGTTCGCCTTTAGTCAACCAGAGTCGAGGTTGCACTCCCACTGCGGATTCAGCTTTAGTCACCAGTCATTCTGCTCATCTTTAGTCGCCAGCAATTGATTGTTTCATTTTGAGTCAACAGTTGCAGCTCATTTTACATTTATACAATAAACCTTGAGCAGTATGCCCAATCCACCCCAGCTGTAAGATTTTTTGAGATTGAACGGGATGATCATCAATTGAATCTTTAAGTGTTTGCCCTGAATGACCTAGTTTATTGGCGTTGTTCAAAATCACATAAGTTATAACAATTCATGAGCAGAATGCTTTGGCGTGCGGGATTTCATGTCGGGCAACTTCGGTAATCAAAGTGAGATCATACGTGAGTTTTCCTGGGTGGGACACTGCATTCGGGTCGGCTTCTTGGTGTGCTACTGTGCTGGATAATGCATGCCACAGACAAACACGAGGCAGCGCTTCCATCTCAAACCGATCACTCCGACTGCAAGTTCACCACACGCCTATCAGGGAGGCTACCTTCCAGTAGAATTTCCTGGTTTCGCTGGTTTCTTAAACCCTTGGTTTCAGGTTTCGCACGTATGCCCGAACTTTGTTTTTTTTTGCTAACAGCTGTTTATGTTGCTATGCTCAGCCTTGATCTGCTAGTTCTGACAGTGTGCCAGATGTCTCTAGTGCTGCTAACCTTCAGCATCCCTCTCTCGTGTTCTAAACACCACGTAGGCAGTTTTAGCATTGATACTGTGGATGGACCAAAAGTCATTGGGCTTGCATTAAATGGTGCAGGATATAGTCCATCCACCATCACTTGATTGCCACGTGTCCATTTGCAAAACCAAACCCCTTCGCTCGATTGTGTTCAAAGGGACCCGAATGCGGGGGCCAAGGTTTGGAATCCTATCCAGGGGCCTTTGGGTGTGGGCGGGGGGCAGGGGATATGCACCAGGACCTTCTGCCCAACTGCAGTCCCCCAATTTGCCTCATGGGACCTCTCAAAGTCGTAGTAAATCATTGCAAGCGGAATTCATTGATGAGCTCGGCGACGTTTCTTTTTGGAAAACCCCCTTGTCGGTCGACTTCCGCCGATGCATTGTCATCCCGCCAGACATACCATGGGCTGACCTGACCCCCCCCAATACATGAATGAGTCATAATCAAACCTGGCATTGCAGTGCTCTACCCAATGTAAGGAACTGAACGGGCGGCACATGATTACATTTTGGACTGTCTCTACCCTTTCTTGCCGGGCTTTGATTGTGGCAAGTTACACTCTTTCCAATAATAATCATGGAACGGAGTTGCAAAGGCCCCCTTGTCCACTTCCATGGTTGGAAAGCGGGCAGGGGTTGGGGATCCTCTCAGACTTCTACCCTCCCCCAGACTAGCATGGAAGCTCCCAGGAGCTGTTTGGAAAACTTGGTTCCATTTACAAAGGCCTTCTGGGAGCTTCCACGTTAGCTTGAGGGAGTGCAGTGACCTCCAGATTGATCCTTTTCCCGAGCCAGGCGCTGGCGACCATGTTCCTCCAGGCTGATGGCCTGACGACAAGCGGCAAGGAAATGGTACCCTACGCATTGGTGGGTCTCCTCCCTTTGCCCAACAAAGGATGTGGCAAGGGGGCCTTTGCTTAGATGTCCCCTATTTCAAGAACTTATATTATATTCCTACAGTAGTCGATCCCTTCCAGCAAATGAGCAATGCAAGATCGAACAATTGCGCAACACAACGTATAATGATGCTAAGTTATCAGTGAGGCAATCCCAGTACTGAAGGTTCCCAATTTTGCAAATTGCCATCTGTCCGGTAGGAGCATCAAAAGTGGGCCGAATTCGCCTTTTGCAGGCTAGTCCGAACGCCAAAGGATGTCCACAAACATCACAGAGTTGGGCAGAACCGGCAAAGCCACGGCCGCCTGTAAATGGCCGAAATTGCAAGAAAACTGCCGAACGGAAGAGGATTTCCGGTTTGATTGCAAATGCAATATATCTATCTATATGTATATATATATATATATGTGTGTGTGTGTCAAACTATGCAACCCAAGAAATGGTGGGTGTCCCTTCAAACCAACCTGAAAAGGGTACTCTCAAAAGCACTCCCATATAATGTAAATTCCAAATGAGTTGTCTCAAGCACAGGACGTTGGCCGCGTAGATTTTTCTTCAACTGCATCCCAAACAACAGAAACTCAAACGTGGCCAAAACGGTCGCGTTGCAGCGATCCTGCAACAAGGAGCAGGTGATCGGAGGCTGCCAACATAGGTGAAATCATGACGAAGCAATTGCACAGGTAAAGTGATTGTCAGCATGAACATAGAACAGATCAAAATACATGACCGGCACGCATAATACAATGTCACTAGCAAAGGGTGCCCCACAAAGCCCAAAAAATATATGTATATGTTCACACAAAACAAAAAAACATGCATTAAGAAATCCATCGATCCAAACAGCGAGCAAGCAAACCGATAAACAAGCAAGCACACAACGAGACGAGAAAGAACGTAAGCAAGCACGAAAGCAATCAGCAATCAAGAAAGGACACAAGCAAGCGAGCGAGCTAGCAAGAAGAAAGCTGGGCACGACAAGACAAAACAAAGCAAAAACAAGCCAGCAAGCATGGTCATGTCGGATAGCAATCAATAAATGAGGAGGAGACACAGCAAAACAATGTGCCCAGAACTGCTCCCTGATCTACTCCTAATCTGAACAAAAATAGACAGGGATACATTTGCTTTCTGTAGTTTAAAGCAAATGGTTTTCACGGGAAACGTGAACCCTGCATCAAACCTGGCCCAGGTCCGAGAAATTGCAAACCCCATGCTCACTATCCATCAGCAAACCTCCAGAGCCAACAATGCAAATGGGTGTCTGTTTTAACGGGAACCCCTTTTTTTAGTGG